GAGATTAATAAATATAAATTATAAATAATAGCTCATTAGAAAGAGGATTAAATGCTAAACATTTCCATAGCTTACAGTATGCAGGTCCGATTTTTTTACTTTTCGAGGTATTTTAATCTATATATTCAATAAAACTTTTTTTAATTTCGTTTCCGACACTATTTTTTCGCCTCTCTAACATGGCGTCGCGTTAAGATACAATTTTTGATGATAGTCCATTGCAGAAAGGATCTCTAGCTAATAATATGCAGGTTCGATTTTTAATGTTTGAGATATTTTAATCGATATGCTAAAATACTTCAATTAGTCGACTCCAGCCGACTTTGCCCGAACGTTACACATCGGAAATATGACGGCTCAATCTAATTCACTCTCCACAACAATATGCGAAACGCGCCTAAATAAGTTTTCATATAAAATAACACAAAATATTGTTTGATGTTTTTTGTTTTACTATTATTAATTAATTCGAATAAAAATTGTATTATATTTTAAAAATAAATATAACATCCCTTTGCCTAACCATCAAGGTAGCATTAAACCCGATGGTTGTTAAGCTAGCTAACGTAACCGTGCTATTTCACGGTCCATAAGATTTTTAACGGAACTGCAGTACTTAATTTAAATTTTACCTTGAAGTAATTTTAAAGCAAACAAGGCAGAAATCTCTCGTACATTTTACCCTACTATTCACTCTGAGCTGCTAAAACAACATATTTATTATTCCTTGTATTTATTTCTTTTATGTTAAGAGACCTGCTCTTTTGTAACTGAATAATTTTTAAATTAATTTTTTTTTACTACTTATGTTCACCTTACATTATTAGTTTAAATCCGTTCGTTTAAAATGTTTATTTATATGTAAATCAACTAATTTGTTATGTGAAAAAAATCCTACTGATTTAAAAAAAAAATCAAACCATTATAAATTTAAGCATTGTAAACAATTTAGTAGATATCTTTCAAATGAGTATATTGAATATTCTAATATTAATTTAATCGAATTTTTTGTAAATGCGGGAACCCAGTCAACGGATACCCTTGGGATTCCCACATAACAAAATACTTTTATTATGGCTTGAAAACTTGTTCAAAATATTTTTCCTTTTTAGTTGTGGTAGAAAAGTAAAAATTCTTATGTGGGTTAGTCTTTTTCTGACATTATTAGGTTATTGATTTTTTTTCAATACATAAATTTTCGTATGCTAGAAGCAATGGCATAACATATTTGTTTTAATATTTTGTTTATTATGTACACATAAAATTAACTATTATACATATAAAGGGGCTCGGTGTTTCTTAATATATATATATATTTAAATATTATTGTAGACATAGGCAAATTTGAAGTTATTAATTTAAATTTATTGAGTTTTGTTGGGAATAGATGTTATATGTAGCTTTGAGTTTTTCCTTTTGAATTTATCAATTTGTTATTTTATTTAAGTTAAGTTTTGTATTACTATATTGTAGCTATGTATAATTATTTCTTTTCTTCATTGTATTCTTCCTAATCAGCTGTTCAATATAACGTTTTTTGGTTGTGTTAATAGAACCTTCGCTTTATGTATTTGGTTGGCTTCCTGAAATGTCTACAGCAATATTTTTTTTTCTTTTTACTTATTTTCATTTTTTGTTTTTCCTTTCTGAAAATAAATGATCTTGGTTTTTCTGCTCCGATGATGCCTGAATTTGCGAAACGTTAGCAAGTGAAATATTCATCTATATATTTGGAGACCCATGGGCTATGCTGTTTGGATTTTTTCATTTATAACATAATTACCTTATGTCTCTTGTCTATAGTCGGAGGGACAAGCTTGGCTTGGGGTATAGATATGATATGACTGAGTTTTTATGATTTTAATTCACTTATCTTTAGGTTATTATTTTTTTTTATTGTGCATAGATATTTAATTATTATTTTACTTTTGTTAATTTTATGTTTTCTGTGTATATGATGTGAATGAGTTCATATCTCACTATAATTATTATCCACGTGACAGATTATTATGTTTCTTAATAAAAATAAATAAAAAATGCTTATTTTTTAATATTAGTAGTGGAATGGCCGTGTATCCACTGTGTTTTGTTGGGGATGGCATGTTATGTATACCTTCGAGCTTTTTCTTTTTAATTTAAAGTTATTATTTAAGGGCGTTATTGCAAAGCTGTCCAACCTCAAATCCCACGATTCCCTTTGTTCTGACCCTATAAAGCTTCCAGAAAATTTCTAACTTCCGTATCACGCCTTCGCCTCAACCACAATAGCCTACCATCCCATCTCTTTAAGATAAACATATTGGACTCTCCTTATTGCTTCTGCGACCATTCCTCAATAGCCGATGAAATCCATGTTCTTCTATCCTGTTCAAATACATCCACAGACTTTCCTTCCTTAATGAAATGATTCCTTCTACCATTTGCTCATCAAAAACAATATCCCCCTCCCTACAACAATTCCTTCTATCCTTACACTAACTGATAGACCAAAAATTAAAAATAACTCATACGCCTTATATAACCTTATCAATTCTAATAATATAAACAGTTATGCATATGAATTCATTGGTATGAAATATCCATTGGTATATTGGCTAATATGCCCATGCATAAACCACACAAAAAAACTTATTATTTTAAATTATTCAAAATTTCATGATTATAAGGAAAAATCAATAAGAATTATATTAAGTATCAAAATAAGGTAATGTTTTCAGTTCCTCTGTTATGGGCTTTAGGAGTTAAGTCAGAAAAATTGACCCATCAGATGCCACTTTATTCATATACATGTTATAAACTTAGAAGTTTGATGGAAAAAATGGGTCGCTGTTACTCTTCTTCTTTTCTCTTTTGTATTTCAATAGTAAACATAAATAATTTATCTATAAAATCTCTTCACTGTCAGTACTTTTTTTTCTTTTCTCCAGGAGCTGGAGAAATGTGAGCTAATTAGTGAACTAAGAAGCTGATTACGCGAAATGAATTGTCTGATAATATCTTGAGAATCTTCACTTCGAGAAAATATCCAGGATTTTTTTTCCGCTGATGGTCCATTGTTGAATTACGTTATCATTCATCTGTTTCACAGTTAACTACCGTTAGCCATTATCCTAAGTTTATTAAATCAAAATTGCATTTTTGTACACGAAGTATATTTATTCTACTTGTGTACCAGGCTTAATATACCGTTTGCTAGACTATTCTGCTTGCTCAAGTATCCGGAACAGTAGTTAGACTAGTTCTTGGACTTTGTGGGTTGAGAAGGGAGTAGTGTGGGGGGAAGAGGTGTCGCGAACAGAAGTTGTGTAATAGGACAGTAGTTTAGGACCCTAGGGCTAACTTCATCCCCAAGAAACGGTTTGCCCGACCCAGTTCGAGAACTCTTCTTTTGGTATATCTGGGTAAACCGGTAATATATGTATGAGGGGACTTAATTTAAAAAATGCGTTTATTCCATACCATCAATATATATAATTTAGTAAACATGATGATCTTGATTTATGTTTTCTTTAAGAGGTTTTTATCATATTATATTTATAAATATAGTTGGTCGTAATCTAGCTTCATAATCAATTAAAATATATGCCGATATGCAAGAATAGAATATTCATTCTAAATTATTATTATTTTTTTTTGCTTACCCTAAAGCTTATTTTAATGTAATAAAAGGAAGAGTTAATTATTAGGAGACAAAAAATAAATATTGAAATATATACAAAATATATATTTTATATTTACCGAACTGTAAAATAATAATTGAGTAAATAAGTCAATAATTAATTTAAGGTGTCATACTACTTCACGAATCTTGAGCATAATATATGTATTGTATGTGTTATGTATTAATGTATGTATTTATCTCTTAATATGAAGTCAATATCGTTAAGATATGGAGGGGAGAGAGAAGGAGAGGCGTATTAGCTTGGAGCAAGCAATCCACCAGGAAGCCACAACACAACACAACAATGAATGCCTAAAAAAAAAAATCTACAAAGTCATTAATTTCTATAAAAAAACAAAAAGTAAAACAAGTAAAAAAACAAAACAAGTAAGCGCTTATTATCACCTTCTGAATTGCCTTGACCCATATAATAGATCCAAATCTTTTATATGTATAAAAAAAAATGAATATTTTTATTGTAAAAAGTATGATAATGATAAAATTATGAAAATAGATATTCGATTAAAACTAGGTGTATATACATCGAATTACTAAATTCAGCATAGCACCTGTCGGGTCTAACATTTATACGTTAAAAACTATATATTTTTTTTTACTAATTTTGTATTTGAAATTACCTGCTATAAAAGCTCAGAAACCTTAATTAAAGAAGCTGGAAGCAACAAGTGGTCGTATTTTCAAGTTCCACTAAGCTTTAACAGTTTCTGACTGGGTTTTTATTGTATTTGTTAAAACGAAAAAAAAAAAAAACCTTGCTGAGGAATTATTTATCCAAACTGGAAATCCACTATTTTTCATAAGACGCCCTTAAATATCTAAAAATTTTATTTATTTTTGGAAATTATTACGATAAAAAATCAGAATTTTCTTGTGGAATTTTCGCAGTAAATTAGTATTATGAGATGTTAAAAATTCTATATGTATATATTCTTTATTTTTTATTAAATTGACTTATCATAGCTCATAGATCTGGAAAAATGGACTTTTACTTCCGATTACCTATAAATGAAACATAACGATTTTGTTGAATTTTTCGGTTGGCACAGCAAGAAAACATAGTGCACAATAATATTGCGTTTTTAAATAATTATCGAAATTTTATATTTACTGTAAACGGACTTGTTGAAATGTTGGAATCAAGCATTGATGTTTTCACTAACTTAAATAGCATTTAAATATTTAAACTACTTGAGGAGAACATTTTAAACTCTGGTAACTAAGGTAGCCACAAGTTATCAGTATTACCCAAGGGAATTGTATACCTTTTTTATAGTTTTTAGAGCAGAGATGTGCCATATCGGAATCAATGTTTACATAATAACAACTGAAAATAAAATTTTATTTTATACTTATTCAATGGCACTATAAATATAGCAAAAACGTGACATGATTACCTGATTATAATCGTAATCGGAAATCTGATCACTATAATCATATAATTAAGATCACTGTGATAGTTATCACGTAATCATGATAACTGTAATCGTTGATTATGATTATTCCTATCTATGATTCAGGGTTAATACACCGTAATAGATTCTAATCTAGCATATTGTTGTCTTTTTTATTACTCGTATTTTTCTGTATTTTCCCTATTGAGAATTACTCGGATCACCACTTATGGCCTGACACTTTTCCCATTTGCCTTGCTTTTCAAGCACTTGCTTGATGATCTGGTAATTTTCTTTATAGCTAGTCAAACGCAAGCCGCTAATCTTGTTTTTTCTGTCTTTAGTTGCCATTTCTGACGATGTTATCTGCGTTTCGCCTTTCCTTAGGAGGACACCCTTTTCTCCCAACTCAGTATTAATCTTTCCGAATACGGCATTTTTGAGGATAAATGTGACCCCGCTATTGGTATCGTGCTTGTAAAAGACAGAAAGTTTGCAATATTTGCACTTGAGTCGAAACTGCTTCTCTACTCCCTTTTTCCGCAGGATGTGGACTGTCTCTGGTTCCGTTTCGGCAATAATTTTGTAAACGTGCTTCTTGCTGTCGAGTACCCTTGCACCATCCGTTTTCCTCAAAGGCAATTTTTGTAAGGGTTTATTCACGATCAAAACTACTTTACCACATACACAATAATAATCGTTCAGAGATGCATCTATTATTCCTACATTAGTACAGTTTACGTATGTCTTAGGTTCATCTAGTATACCCTCCATTGATAAATAAAGTCTTCAACGATTCTTCTTCAGTCAGTCTGCCAAGTTCAAGTCATTCATAGTTCAATCATAAAAACAAATTTCTAAAATTATAAAGTCTCTCCAAACTCCAAAAAAAAACAGAACTGCAATAAAAGAATTAAACAATGTGTTGTTATTGTTGATCATTTGATTGATGTTCCGTCAAATAATGTAAAAACATAATTAATACACCAATCGAAAAAAATACTTGTTTTAATTTACCGTCACTTGGATTGAGTCGATGACGGCTGCACTTCTGAAATTTCATAAAATTAATATTGTCGTATTGAAATAATTAAGTACTTTCTAAATTCACAGTTTTTATTGTATAGAGTAGAGTCAAGAGCTCAAACTATCGTTTTAATATGTTCAACATTGAAATTGAAATGATACAACTTTGGCTGGGCTTCAGAGAAAAAAAAAACCGTTTATCTCACACTCCTTGAATATCCTGATGATATAGTCGTATTTGGAAATAACGGAAGAAAATTACAACTCAACCTCAGATTCCTACATGAAGAATCTCAGTTGATAAATATGGAGATTAACACCAGCAAAACAAAGTAAGTGGGACTGGAAATAATGAGGACTGGAATGGAGAAATGACGTAGGGAAAGAATACTTCGACTAAAGGGAGAGGAGGTGAAACAAGTCAGAGACTTCAGGTACTTGTGGATTCATTTCAATAAAAAAACTGGAGAGACGGGTAAATCAGACAGGGAATAAAATTGGCTGGAAAACGCTTACATTCACTATCATCTGGTTTCCAGGGAAAGAAGATAAAAATAGTATATAATACAGCATTCATACTCATAATGACCTACGCCAGTGAGTCGTAGACTCTTACATCAAGACATAGGAGCCAAATGCAAGCAATAGAGAGGAGGTTCCTGAGGAGAATATAAGGAAAAACAAGAAGAGATACGATAAGAAATATAACAATTAGAAGTAATTTGAAAATTAAACTGGTCGTACATATAATTAAAGAGAATCAGCTTCAGTGGTTCGGTCACGTTTAAATAATGCAAGGGGAAGAATTGCCAAAACTATTTAGGAAACGAGAGAGAGAGAGAAGAAAAACAAGAGAAAGATCCAGAAACACTTGAGAAGTAGCAGTCCATGAGGTATTCAACAGAGACGGTATGTACTGGAACAGGCGAAATTAGCTGTTTCAAGTTCCAGAATCTTGTCTCTGTAAGCAAGAACCCCTCACACTGTTCCGCGGTGGAAGAGGGCAAGATTAGGAAGAAAAAACATTGAAATTAATAAAGTAAGGTGTCCGATGAAATTTATTTTGTTTTCAAAGTTTCGGCTTTGAGAAATTATATAAATTTATAACCCAATTTAAATTAATTTTATGAAGTCGTTTGGAATCAAGATCCATTGGGTAAATTTTTTTAAATTTTACAGTAGGACAAAAAAAAAACTACGAAATAGGGATTTTTCGACTAAGGAAAAGTTGCAAATGAATGTTGGCATGGTCTTTAGTCATTTGAAATTACAACAGACTTTTATATCTCCGATTTACATAATCTTTAAATCTGAATACCTTACAAATGAATGCATCAAACAACTTTTTTTTAGAATAAACTCCTAGAATTCATAAAGAACTGATTCATGATTCTCTCTCTCTCCATCAATCGCTCTCTCTCTCTCTCTCTCTCTCTCTCTCTCTCTCTCTCTCTCTCTCTCTCTCTCTCTCTCTCTCTCTCTCTCTCTCTCTCTCTCTCTCTCTCTCTCTCTCTCTCTCTCTCTCTCTCTCTCTCTCTCTCTCTCTCTCTCTCTGTCTCAAAAAAAAAAAAAATATATATATATATATATATATATATATATATATATATATAACCCTTATTATGTATATATTTTCATTAAAAGTTATATATACGAAAAACAAAATTACGAACTTCAAACGAATAATTATATTATAAATTTGTTATAGATATAACTATACCTCTTAATGAAAATATAAATATGAATAATATCCATATTAATATTAATCATCACTTTTTTTTATGGAACTGTGATCAATACAGCTATGTAAATTTGATTTCTATCAGGAGCTGTCAATACTCTTTAACATCTGTTATTGCACTGTCGGGAGGATGTCTTCACTTTTATACAGCATTAGCTCGTTGCTTTATAGTAATCTAATATCCATCTTCTTCTTTTATCTGTCAACTTAACTTTTGCTGTATACATCAAAAGCTTATGGCATTTCAATTAAAATTAGATTAGTTAGATTAAAATAATTACGCATTACTACTAGTATTATGAACGATTAGTAGTATTCATATTTTCACTTTCTGTTACATTAAATTTCTCATGTATTATTTACTTTATTCGTTAACTTTTTTGTTGGGAGAAAGACCATTTTATAAATTAAACGTGTTTTTATTAAAATAATGTTTATTAAAAATGTAATTTATTTAAAATATATTTTTAGTAAAAAATATCGATTCATTAATTAGCAAAGTATTTTTAAAAATTACTTCATTTCCTCTTCTTTAATAGTTTATTTTTTGCCATTTCGATTTCCTATTTAATGAGTGCTCTAATTTACATATTTTGTTTAGAGTTCAAAGGTCAGTTTCATTTTTAGGTTTAATGATAGCTTTAAACTGTTTATATTTCCAGTAAATAAAAGGAAAATTACCAGTAGTTATTTTAACATGATCTATTTATTGATCAAAATTGTAAATTAAGTATGGTTTTTACTAATAATGATCAACCAAAAGTGTTGCTTATCAGTAATGAGCTTTTTCTGTGCCACTTTATTGATAAAATTGATAAAAGCACAAACAAAAATACTTGAATAATAAAATTCAGGATTCCCAGATAGAAGATATAATTATAATTTTGGTAATCTTTTCGTTTCATTTAGTGCAATATTTATTTCTGTTCCTTTTTTTTTTTTTTTTAAATGCTCCATTATACCGTATGGCAATTCCAATACCTTCCTGTGTATGATATTCCTTTGTGGATGGAATGAAAAAACGTTGGTCGTAGGGCAGATACTGAAAGAGATATGGAGGGGAATAAATCTCTGGTGATAGTACACAGCCCCCAAACGGAGATGGAAATGCTATGATATCACTGCCCAGCCCGCCGTCCACCTAACCCATTCCACATGTTGTTTTTAACTGAACATTTATATATGAAATCTGCTAGTAAAGTGAAACATCCATGGGTATATATATACAGGGTGTCCTGTAACTAGATGGAAATTTTTAAGAGGTTGATAATGGACATTATGAGCTACAAAAAGTTCATGTCAACCATTGCCCAATTTCCTTACTCAGAAAAGTAGGATATTTAAGGTTTGTGTTTTTAGGCTCGTTACATTTTTTGTTGAATAGGAAGCGATAGCTAAAAGAATAATTAATTTAAGTGAATAACAATTGCGTCACAATAAACCAGACAAAATTTTTGCAATAACAATTGAATTTTAGGGTGTCATACATTTTTTCAAACTTTAAGTGTTGAATAACCGGAGCGATCTGGAATCATATTACTACCGCATGGAGGAGAAAGACAAATAGAAACCTGCTTACAGAAAAAGGTCAGTCAATATCTCATGATTTGAAGGCGAGGTGGTTAAGATGGGTGAGGCATGTAGCTCGATGCAAACCATCAGAAAGCATCTGCACTCCAATGTCTCAATAAGTTTAAGTTTTGTATTTTTAGGCTCGTCACATTTTTTGTTGAATAAAAAAGAATTAGCTAAAAGAATAATTAAATTAAGTGAATAACACGTTAAAGACCAAAAACCAGATGGATTGATCGAATCAACAAAGATGAAATAGAGCTGCATGCAGATAACTGGAAAGAAATAGCCCTAAGTTGGCAGAGAAGGAGAAGACTAGTTTAGACGGCAAAGGATCTTTAAAATCTGTATTACCAAAAGAAAAAAAAAATGAAAAGAATAATATAAATTCCCTGTTCTTTTAAATTGAATCATTCAAAATTGATTAAGTTTTTATTATTTTTTTAAAAATGAATATTGGTATTTATGAAATTGTTGAGTAAACATTTTATTTTAGAATTTGAACTTGAAAATGGACAAGGTCGGTTAATAAAACTCAACAGACAATATGGGGTCTGAAGAGTATAATATTTCTTTTTGACATTTCACGTATTGATACCTATTTTATAGTTTCGTTCTTTATCCATACGTAAAACAATGGTTAAGCTGTGAAAAAGGTTCATTTCCTGGATGAGATAGAGATAGAGAGAGCTGTGGTGTGGAAGAGATATTGAGTGGGAGGGAACGGTGAGGGTCCAATTCACGAGCGCTTGAGGGAAAACGCAGAGTAGGAAGTTGTGGGGAATTCCCATCCCTCAACTTCAGGCCCTGGTATTCATCACCTCTAGTTCACTGGACCACATATTTCGCCCGTATTGATCAATCTGGATAAACTTCCTTTCCTAGTCACATACATTACATATTTTTTTTTTTTAAAACAAAACACCATGGAAGTAGAAACAATTTAATAGTGAAATATTCAAATACCAAACAGAATAGGAGTAATAATTTCACCGAATCAAGTACCGGAAAATATGTAATAAGTTAATTACAGACCAGATATAGAAATAGAAAATAATTTTATTCTGGGACAAATTCTCATTAGAATATCAAAATAGTACATAATTAAAAGACTACATCTGGCCTAAATAAAACAATAATAAAAAAAGCGAAAGTAAAGAAAATATTAGTTAAACAAGCTATATACAAAAAAAAAAAAAAATCTATATACAAAACACTCGAAACTATGACAAAACACTTAGAACTATGTACAGTTGGAAAAATTACAATTATACACTTTTGAGAAATAAAATAATAAAAAATATATTGAGTTCTTCTTTAAAATAAGCTGTATTTCGGCTAACAAAGGAAATAATAATATCTAAACGCATCATTATCTTGTTGCAACTATAGGTATAAATGTATTTGTATTAGAATAAAAAATAATAAAAAAACAAACAATCGAAGCATTCATTGGCATTGCAAGTAGGAAGGTATTGTAAAATCCTTAGTGAAGTTAATAGTACGGAATAGTACTATCATTTGATGATGAATGATATAATACAAATGAATAATATCAAAAGTCTTAGCAAGGATCTTACTGTTTTTGGGATAGGAATTGGAATAGGAGGGTCTTGAATGTGGATATGGAGGGAGAATGCCGAATTTTGATAGGTAGTGAATTACAGAAATTGACAGCGCGAGCAATAAAGGAGTTTTGAAATGAGACGGATCTGTGAGAACGGATGTAAAGGTCAGAAGGTGGAGATCTTGTTGAAAGGAAATGGACTGAGGACTTGAATTGGAGAAGGTTGTAGGCGTAAGAAGGATTGTTGATGATTTGATAACGGAACGTACCTAGGAATTATTGTCTTCGAAAGGAGGGAAAGAGCCATTTTAACTCAGTGTAGTGGTGAGAGACAGATATAGTAAGAATTCTGAAAAATGTTAGCCAAGAAGAGATGTTACCTCTCCCTACATCCCTAAAGCGGTTAAACATATTCTTAAAATACTATGTAATAATAATATAATTCATTGTTTTTTCTGTACATCTTCTTCAAGAATAATATTAGCTGCAATAGAAGGCTGAGGGTAAAAATGAAAAATTAAATAATGACTGATAATAATAAGTATCCAAGCTCATATTATGTTCATCTAAGTACATACTTAAAAATTATGAATAAATAATGGAAACATCTATTTACTATTATTTGGGAACTCAATGAACAGGAAAATTATATGAATAAAGAGCCAATGGTCCAATTGGCGCGATATCAAAGTGGGATTGGCATTGAAAGCTAAAGATAAAGGAAAGAATGAAATTCCTCAAATACATATACAAAATACATCAACATAAAAAGCAATCCTTACATTGATTTAAGATGGATTATAGAGTCTACTTCATGTATGAATCTTCTGGATGGCTCTTCTGTTTTATGCTGAGATTTACTTTAAATATTGTTGTATGCAATGCCGTTAAATTAAATCTGAATGATGCGAAATGTTATACTGGTACTGGTTCTGATAGGGCCGCTATCTGGGAGTGTCTGGATTTATTTTTCGAGACTGTTGAGAAATAAATATTACCCGACCCAGATGGAAATCAAACCCACAACGTTCCGAACTTGGCACACGAATCAAAGACGATTTCAAAATAAGTGGTGATCATGCAGTCTCTTATGGTAGAGAATGCACGAAGGAATATCCTTGTATTGGTACAGATACTAGTAGGGGAAACAAGTTTGGAAAGTGGGCCCTTTTTTTTTTTAAATTTTTTCCTCCACTCCCTTGACTTTACACTATACGAGGGTTTTCCGAGCCACAAGGTGAGGGCGCTGAGATTAATGCCAGAGTTGAAAGCCTCCCTTAGCACCAGACCATGAACTCGGTATAT